GTCATAATTATCACCCTCCTATTAGGGCACTGATTTGCCATATGACCCCTGTCCAAACACTTGAAACATTTAATATCACGAGTCTTAGTGTTAGGGTTTTCAGTTTTACCTGAAGCCGGATTCGAACCAACTTTACCATCCTTCTCCTTCTCCTTCAAAGTTTCAGTCTTGATATTGTTTCCCTTCCAATTCGGCTTCTCATCTCTCTTCCAATTAGACTTCCAATTCGAGCTTGAACCTCCACCACTCTTGTAATTTCGATCCAACTTCAATTGCCGCTCAACTTTGATGGCTTTGTCCACTAATTCCTCCAATTCAACGTAGTGTTGCAGCTCTACCACCCTTGCTATATCTCGGCTCAAACCACACAAAAATCGTGACATTGTGGCATCACGGTCTTCCACCACATTAGCACAGATCATAGCAATCTCCATCTCTTTATGGTATTCTTCCACACTTCTATTACCTTGTGTGAGATTTTGCAGCTTATGGAATAAGTCTCTGTGGTAATGACTAGGTATAAAGCGCCTCCTCATCACTGCTTTCATCTCATCCAACGTTTCTATTGGTCTTTCACCATTGCATCTCCTGCTAGTCACAAGTTGATCCCACTAAATTATAGCATAATCAGTGAATTCAACAGCTGCAATTTTTACCTTTTTGAGCTCCGAATATCGCTGGCAATCAAATACCATCTCCATTCGTTTCTCCCATTCTAGATACGCATCAGGATCATTCTTTCCTTGAAAAGATGGAATCTTCATCTTGATGTTGCCAAGCTCATCATCTTCTCGACATCTAAATCCTCGGCGTCCGTTTCTCCTCTCAAACCTGCCATCTCGATCATCTTCTGTATCGGACACATATGCATCATCAAATTGCCGCTGCCATCTAGGTTGTGCCCTAGGCTCCTCTCGCTAATTTGTGGCCTCCCTCGTGGTGGCTCTCGGTCATCTTCAAGTCTAGTCTCACATCTTGCAACTCGGTTGCTAAGTGCTTCAATTTGTAAACTCAATTGCTGGATGCCTGCTAGAATCTCATCATCCCTTCGATGAGTGCGATCCTCCCTTTGATTCACACTTCCCTTGCCTGAGCCTGACATTTTTTTTTTTAACCTACAAGAAAATATTAGAGATAAAAAGAAATCTCACTAGTCACTCCCTCACGTTTTCTGCTCAAAGTGTTTGTCACTCCTCTCGTGTTTAACTCAATTTCGGCTTTTTCTTCCCTCAATTAAACTCACACACTCTTGCCTTTTACCTCTCGTTTCCTTCTAGCAAGCTCTTTTTTTGCAGACTTGAATTCAGTCTCACAAGCTCCTCACAACAATCGATAACCCACCAAGCAAGATCAAATTCAGCAATATACCGCTCAACTCAGCAATTCAGCAAATTTTCGCTAGATTCGGATTCAGATTCAATTTCTGCTACTGAAATTTTTTTTTTCTATTCGGTCCAACTATCAATGATAAAAAAAAAAAAAAACAAGTCGTCATCTTGAATTTTTTTTTTGCAAAAACTTTTTTTTTTGGCTTTTTTTTTGTCAATTTTTTTTTGGCTTTTTTTTTTGCCGATTTTTTTTGGCTTTTTTTTTTACGAACTCAAGTACAATATAAAAAAAAACAACTAGGACTGAAAACCCTAAATCAAAATTGAAATCACAGCAAGAACAAATTCAGAACCCTAATTCGATTAATAACGAAACCCTAATTCTATAAACCCTAGTTTCTATAAACCCTAGATTGATGAATGAAAAGTAATAAAAGTAAGATAACTAGACCCAGCTCTGATACCAGATGATATAAATCTGTGCGGAAGATGATCGTTCTACGAAGATCTATGAGTTACGAATTGCTGACCTCGACCCCCAATCGAACCTGTGATTGGTAATCTCGGTATGAACGCGACCTGTTGACGAATCTGTGTCAACCAATCCATGCTATAACGCCACGAACAAGAGAATTCGCGATCTTGCTCGATAAGTTGAATTCGATCGCCACAAGGGAGCCTTGATAAGATCTAGTCCTCAAGAGAACTCACGAAGAAAACTTCTCTATATAAAATTCTGCCTCCTCCTCTTAGAAATCTATAAGCAACCTTATATAGGGTGCTAACCCTGATCCTAACCCTACTAGGATTAAAATTACAAAAATAACCTTAATTAGTAAAAATTCGTTCGAAAATGGAAAAAGGCCTAAAAGTTCATCTAAACGACTCCAAATTGCTAAAAAACGTCAACAATCACTAGTAGTGAGTATTGATCAGCGGCCCGTTTCCAAGCATCCATCCAAATTTGAGCCAATTCGAAGTTCGTCACTTCTAAGCTCCTTCGGAATTCGCTGGACCAAGAGTAATCATGTTGCACCAAGGAGCTTTAGAATCTTCAAGTTTCGAATCCAGATTGTCTCCATTCCAAATATCTTGAACCATGATGCCGACAGCTTGTTTGAATTCCTTCGCTCTCACTCAAGTGATCGGGCCTAGCGGATAAAACAACGGGTCCCTAGCACCTCCTCCTCGATAGGGTTTGATGTCCACATCACTGCCCAAAATTTCTATTCTTAGAATAGAAAAAGAACAGAAATGCATTTGGTAACTACACAAAATTTCATTTTATTAATAATATTTTTATAATATTGTAATAATATTTTGAATTTTTTAATATTTCTTTCTTTTTTTCTTTTTTTTTCCTTTTTTTTTTCTTTCTTTCCCTTCCCTTCCTTAGCCATGGCCGGTCGCCGACGCCAGCAACCGACCACAAGCCAGGGCTGGTGAGGGCGTTGCGAACCTCGCCGTTCGTCGATCGCAACGGCGAGGTTGGCCTCGCCAGAACGAACCTGGGTGGCGACGGCGAGGTCAGCCTCACCTTGGCTAGGCGAGGCCTCGCCGTCACGGCCACGAGCCGCCCTCGTCAACCACCGGCGAGGGCGTCGCGGCCCTCGCCGGCCGGCCTATGGCTGGCGGCCAACAGGCCGAAGAACAACAACAAACCAACAAAAAGAAGAAAATCAAGAAGAATCAGAAATGAAAAAATTGTTCCATAATTAAGAAGCTACTTTTTTTGCTTCTTGATTCTGTTCCAAAACTGATTCTGGGAATAATTTTTTGCAAAATTGTGCCCAGGCAAAAAAAATTTAACAAACGGATTTCTACTCCCAAACTGATTCTAGGAATAAAAGAAAAGAAATTTTTACTATTTGGCAAATTGCCAAACGAGCCCTAAATCTTTATCAAAAATGCTATTTAAGTTTGCCAAGTAGGCAATTTGCATGATCAGAAGGAACTTTTCAAAGATAAATTTTGGACTTTGATTCCATCAATTGAACTTCAAATTTGATTGTATCAAACATAATCTCATTCTTTATAGAATTTTGGTGCACAAAGAGAAGGACTTTGGCCCTTTCTTTCATTGACACCTACCCTACTTTCATTTCTTCTAATTCTGAAAGGAAAATACTATAGCATTTTCGTCACATATTTTTTTTGGGTCAGAAATAGCTCTAAAAAATATCATATATTCACAAATTTTAATTGTGAGAGAAAAAAAAGTAGAAAAATAATTTTAATAAACATAAATTCCACAAATTTTGAAATATATAACCCATAGGAAGCATGATCAACCGCCCTAATGAATTGCAAATCCCAACACGATTCATGGTTGGGATTTGGGAAGAAAAAATTGTATTATGAATTTTAGGATCCTTCTATTTCATGAAAAATGAACGATTCAAAAAATATTTTTATAAAAACGATAGCTTATATCAATTACAAAAATGGAGAAATGATAAATATTTTCACCATTTACGAAAATGTTTAGATATACATTGTTCTTAACAACGAAAATATTTTCTATTAACTAATTATTTCAAGCGATAAAAGCAATCATTTTTAGGAAAATAATTTTCAAATTATTTATTTTCCGCAAAATAAACGGACCCTTTAAAAAAAGACAGAGATTGAGAAAGCTAAATCCAAGAAATTGAGGTCCAAATTTAAAAGGGCATGCACAATGAGGAAGAAAAACTATGGTGTCCTCCTAGCCTCGAATGCAATCAAAGTGAAGAAAAAAGAAGAGCATATAAAGGGGACTAACGGAATTTCAATATTTCAATAATTAAGGAATGAACAAAAAAAATAAAGGATTAAATTTGAAGAATTGAATAAATTGACAACAAAAGACAAACCCAAAAAACATTTCGCGGATTAAAATTATGCGAAGAAAAAAAAATGTTCATATGACGAAGGCAAATACATGCCGAGAGTGAAATGCATTTCGACCATCGAATCCGGTATATTGCATGAAAAACATTAGCTAAGTCATATGATATTAAGTTTGTCATTAACTTAAATTAAAAAAAAATTAACATTGAATTCTTTCCATTGCCTCCTAGACAGTTACTACATGTTTTACCAGGTGATAAAATAGGAATAATAGATTTACGAAGTTAAATTTTTGTATTCGACTTTAACCCTTTATTTCATAAAAAAAATTTAAAAAGTCATTTTTTTCCCAAGTGCATGATGGCCTTAAGGCTAGTCCCATGGATAGAGTTTTGGTCTCTGTCTTGACTCCCAAGTTTCTTGATATGGCAACTTTGAAGATGGAAACATCAAGATCATACATGCCCAGATAGCGATGATGAGCTAGTATTCCTCTAAAATCAATGCGAATTACTATACCTGGATTTCTTTCAAATTAAGACTTTGATAAAAATCGAAAGAACTTTATAGTATATAGTTGCAACTGAGGTCCGTCCTCCAGATATCCAGCTATAATTTCCACGAAGGGCCGCACCGGCCTCGCGAAATGGAAGCTTTTCGCCTTTCCACATTCGCCGTTTTACCAAAATTATGATCAGCCCTACGTTGCCCTCTCTCTTTTTGGTCATTGTGGAGTCGTGCACAAGACATCATTGCTCCAAAGGTAAGGAGCACATAAGACCTCGTCATTTATGTGATGAGAGACCCCCTATATATTGTCCTCTAAGGTCCATTGAGCTAGCCACCCATTTCCATCAAATTTGTGCTTTGTTTGACGAACATGGGTCGGAGAAAGGTTAGGTTGGAGCTGATCACCAACGATTCGGTCCGGAAAACGACCTTCCGGAAGAGGAAGGGCGGGCTGCTGAAGAAGGCGAGCGAGCTCAAGACGCTGTGCGGGGTCGACGCGTGCGCGCTCATCTACACCGCGAGCGACGCGGAGCCCCACGTGTGGCCGTCCCCGGACGAGGCTCACCAGGTGCTCGAGAGGTTCCAGAGCTTGCCCTCGAAGAAGCAAGGGAAGCACATGCTGAACCACGAGGACTACCGCCCCAAGGACGTGTCGATGCTGGAGCTCAAACTGGAAAACGGGGTGAAGAGGAACCGCGATCTCGAGATCGAGCTGCTGCTGATGGATCATCTCTCGGGTAAGAACGTGGTCGAATCGATGAAGGATGATGACATGAAAATGCTGTACGAGTCTGTGGATGACAAGATCAAGAACCTAACCCTTCAGATGGACAACCTCAAGGCGTCTGCTAAGGTTGAGGAAGACGCGCACAGCGTTGTTCCGGCAAGTTGAATCTCTTCCTTCGAGGAGGATTTATAGTGCAAAATTCGATGTGACCTTGATGAGTTCTCATCTTTTCTCTTCATCTGATTAGTCAATAAGCCAAAACTTTCTGGGATTGAATAATGTGCACAAACATTTGCAGGGATGCCCTTATTTGCTTCCTTTTATGCCCTTATTTGTCTTCCTTTCGGATTGATTTTGATGGATCTGTTGGCATTTTCTCGTACAAGTTATCTGCATCATGCTCTGTATGTTATTTATCTCTAGCCATTGCTTCGATACCTCAATTAGGATCGCTCGTTTTGCCCGAGGAAGGTTCTTATATCGCGGTGATAAGAGATAAATCTATGTGGTTTGCGCGTTTTAATTAGAGGACGATCATAGGGATGGCAGATTAAATGGACCGACATAAAAGTAGCCCAAGTCATAATGTAAGCGAAACGCATAACTCTCCAGAAACCGAGAGCCGGTTCTGATAGGTAAAGATTCTAGCCATTTCGGAACCGACTAGCGATCACAGGGATGGCGGATTAAATTGACCGACGTAAAAGTAGGCCGAGTCATAATGTCAGCAAAACACATAACTCTCCAGAAACCGAGAGCCGATTCTGATAGGTAGAGATTCTGGCCATTTCGGAACCGACTAATGATCACAGAGATGACGGATTAAATTGACCGACATAAAAGCAGGCCGAGTCATAATGTGAGCGAAACGCATAGCTCTCCAAAAGCCGAGAGCCGGTTCTGATAGGCAGAGATTCCGGCCATTTTGGAACCAACCAGCGATCGCCCCTATTGTCTGTGATGCTAATGTAGAAAGTGAATATTAGGAAACAAATCTGCACCTAAGGGAGTGTGAGTTGCCAGTTTAAATTGGGGGGTACATTCAATTTACCTCAATTAAGAAACAGTCACATAAGCTCATTTGAAATTAATGGATCGTAATGAAGCAATCCCTTCGACTACTAAATAACCCCAGATCCTCATAATTCATGATCCTTGTAGCCATAAGATGATCCATGACAAAGGAAGATTGATCGGGGAATATTGACAACAATCTTAGGAAAAAAATAGCATGCATTGCAGAAATAAAATCCCAACTTTAGGATTGGTCCCAATTATGTCCCGAACTTTTTTTTTGTCTAAAATAAAATCATCAACTCTAAATTCAGTCTCAAATCTACCCCTAATTTTCTTTTGTCTAAAAAAAATCACCAACTTTAATTATAGTCCCAAATGTGCCCCTGTTAACCTTCCGTTCAAAAATCCCCCATCAGTTGTCCCTAATTTCCGTAATTTTCATATCAAAGAACGATTTTGTTATGGAAATAATTTTCTACGTCACCTTGCTAATGTGGATTTGTTACCGACGAGAAATTGCCACGTTAAGCAACTAATGGTGAACCATTGGGGGGTTGCCCCAATGGCCATCCTTCCCATTTGGTTAGGGGAATGTGAAGAGTTCGATTCCCCATCTTCTCAAGGGAGCTAGGAATGAGGATGCGTGAGTGAGGGAGCAGGGTTTCAAAACCTAAGCATAGCACATAGCACGCACAGTAGCTTGTAAAATAGAAACGGGATAGGATAGAAACAAACCCCAAAAAAAAAAACACAACTAATGGCAATTTTTGTATGGAGGGATAACGGGGGCAAATTTGAGACTAGACTGAAAGTTGATTTTTTTTTAGAGAAAAAAAATTCGGGGGATATTTAGAACTATAGTTAAAGTTGGTGGTTTACTAGACAAAAATATTCGAGGCAAATTTGGGACTATAATTAAAGTTTGGGTTTTTTTTTTACCAAAAAAGTTCGGTGCAGATTTGGAACTGAACCTAGAGTTTGGATTCTTTTTAGTAAAAAAAAATTGGAGTAAAATTAGGAGTTGATCTAAAGTTTGGGATTTTTAGGGAATTAGGCATTTGTTAATTAAAGTTGGATATTACTCGCATATAGTTGCCCCATGTGACTTGCTTATGTGCGAGCTTTGCCCATCAATTTCTTTTTCCTTATCACTGAACATATTATATTGATGTTCTAAATTTTGAACATTTCATATACTTCAATGGTTTTTTAAAGTTGAATATTTTATGATATCAATGAATTTTTCGAAGAACTTAATTATTTCAAGACTAACAATATCTGTTGAGTAAATAATAATGAGTTTTTTAAGGAACTATATAACTATTCATATATATATATGTTTATATAAATGCACATTTTAATGTCAAATTATCGTCGAAAGGTAATATATGACATAAGAACTTTATAACCATTCATACGTAAATGCATATTTTAATATCAAAGTATCATCGAAAGGTAATGCATGACATAACTTTATGATGCATGTTAACGAAAGACATCATACTTTGATTAGTAAGAATTGTTTTTAAGTACGTTTTGGTTTTTCCTTCGTGACTCTCGCAATTTGACTTTTCATTAGTTTTAGATCCAATTGAATTTACGAGAAACGCGTGATTGTTGAATTTTAGAATTTTTAATAGAAATGAAAAAGACCCTAAAATACATTTGTTGAGTTTGTTCTAGAATTTCGAACGCTTCCTCTGCTTTCCGTCGAAATTATGAAAACAGAAAAAGAAAAGAACGTTTAGAAATCTCAAATTATGGCGAAAGAATCCTACAAAATTCTAGATGCAAACATCTTTACCTTCTTCGACATATTCACAGTATTCGATATTAAAAAAAAAAATCTAATTTCGAACCCTAGAAGAATGCAGCAGATCTCGGTCGTTCAATAGATCTCAAACCTAAACAGATATGATTTTCTATTTTTCAGATACGACGGCAAAAAGTCCGAGAGGTGCGATACCTCCTAGGGCTGCAGACTCATCTCATTTTTCATGAGCTACTTATGACTTTGCTAGAAGTCTAGAAGAAAGCATCCAAGTGGTTCTTGCATGCGTGGACATGGAGTTGTCTTTTCTACTTTTGTTCTCAATGCCTTCATCTTTTTGTTGGTTCTTCAATGACATAGGCACATTTGATCAATATGGCATCGAATTAAAGAGCAAATCAAAGTGGGTTAGATCCAATGTGGATTGAAAGTGGCCTCTTTGGGAATATTCCCTTTGTTTTCGTTTGTCCATGTTGGTTGATTCCTTGTCCGCAATCCACTTCAGCTTTTCCATAAGAATAAAGGGGGAAGATCACCTCAACCTTGCACTCTTGATCATTCGTTTCACAGGATCGAAACCCTACTTTGATTAACAGTTCGCAATGGGGGTATAGCGAGCACAAAAATCTTCGTGGATAAGACAAAAAGGATTGATGCGACGAGTCCAGATCGTCACAAAAAATGTGCAATATGACATGCGATATACGAATTGGTTTAGGGTTAGGACTACATTATCGTAAGTCGATCTTTGAATATCTAAAATCGTGACTAATGTTGCTTTTATTATGGAATGAATTGGAATGAACCCCCAAAAGTCAGTAACAACGTAACATACTCGTCTCCATAATAAAAATATACTAAAAAGAATGATAAAATGACCCTCTAAAACTTAACGGTCGTAATACTAGGCTCGTTGCTGCTTTGAGTGGTACTGGGCTCGTCGTTGCTTTGATTGAAAAGGTGACCGACGGTTCCTGACTTTATCCGGCTCTTGTCTTGATTGAATACATCATCAAAACGATCACGCGAGAGGTCTAATAGAGTGGGTCGCTTTCGGCTTGTCTTTCTTACCTTCTATTCCAAACTCCAAACGGGAAAATTGTCAAATCAGTCCTAAATCTATTGTACGGCGGCCAATTCAGTCCTAAACCTTTTAATTTTGCCAATTCAGTCCTAAACCTTTCTAATTCTTGCCAATTCAGTCTTTCCTGCCAATTTTGACCGGCCGACGCTGACGTGACCGCCGACCGTCCGGCCAACGCTGACGTGGCAATTTTTTATTTTTATTTTTCAATTTTTTAATCTTTTTTATTCTTTTTTTTCTTTTTTTTTTTTATTTCTTCCTCTGGCCAGTCCGGCGACCGGCGGCCGGCCAGAGGGGAGGGCCGGCGAGGTCGACCTCGCCGGCCTCGCCGCTGTTGAGGGGAGGGCCGGCGAGGTCGACCTCGCCTGCCTCGCCGCTGCTGAGGCGAGGCAGACCTCGCCGTCGCCTGGTTCACGACGGCGAGGTCGAGCCTCGCCCAGATCTGGCGAGGGCAGGCAAGGCCGACCTCGCCGTCACCTGGGTCGCAACGGCGAGGTCGGCCTCGCCTCAGCAGCGGCGAGGCCGGCGAGGTCGACCTCGCCGGCCCTCCCCTCTGGCCGGCCGCCGGTCGCCGGACCGGCCAGAGGAAGAAATCAGAAAAAAAAAAAGATTAAAAAATTGAAAAAAAATAATAAAAAATTGCCACGTCAGCGTTGGCCGGACGGCCGGCGGCCACGTCAGCGTCGACCGGTCAAAATTGGCAGGAAGGATTGAATTGGCAAGAATTAGAAAGGTTTAGGACTGAATTGGCAAAATTAAAAGGTTTAGGATTGAATTGACCGCCGTACAATAGGTTTAGGACTGATTTGACAATTTTCCCAACTCCAAACGTATGTCTGCTTAGCTCATCTGCTCGCTCTAATATGAATGCGACACTCCGACTGTTATTCTCGCCGAGCTAATCCGATGTCCGCCCCGCCTCATATTGACTAGGAAATCGAGATCGGGATCCCATTAATCCATATGGTCGCCCCTAGAATTCCTTCCGGAGCCTTAATTCCTGGGCCCTGACGAATGAGCCTTAAAATGACCCTGTAAAACTCTCACATCCAATACATCACTAACCTGCCAACGATTACTTAGCCCAAAGAGAACTACAGTATAATAACAGAAGAGTTCTTGAATATGTGTCGCTAGAGCCCTCAATTATCTCAAGTCCAAAGCCACAATAACATTGGCAAAAGTACACTATAAGTGCCATAACTTGTGTACGGCGATCACTTTGGTGCCATAACTTTTTTTTGGATCACTTTAGTGCCAACTTTTTTGAAAATCGATCACTTTAGTGCCAAAGCTGACATGGCACGCCGGAAATCTGATGTGGCTCTTTTTTATTAATATTCGATGCTGAGATGGCTGGCCGGAGCAGGCCGGAGAGTCCAGTAAGCCCTTATAGCGAAAACGACGTCGTTCAACCTTTCTCCCCCAAATATAGAAACCCTAAATCGGCTAATTGGACATATTCTCCA